ATCACATTGGAAGGACATCTCAAAGTGCTTCACAAAATTTACAGTGAACTGGAGTGACTGTATATTTGTACGCAAAGGCAGTAGCACAATTGTGCACGGCAATGTTCCGTAAACAACCATGAAGGAGTGACCAATTTTATTTTGGGGGCGTTTGTTGGTCAGAACACCAGGTGATACTTCTTCTCTTTTGAAATAGTGGGATCTTTAATGTCCACCTAAACAGGCAGACTGAAACTCGGTTTAGTATCTCATGCAAAGGGTGGCACCTCAGCCAATGCAACACCCCCCCTAGTGCTGCAATGGAGTGTCTGCTTAAACTATGTGAGTTCAAATCCCAATGTAGGATTTGAACCTACAATCTTCTGACTCCGAGGCGAGAGTGCCACCACTGAGCCAATTTTATACAGTCGTGCTTTATCACATTGAAATGTCTCACAATTTTACAATATTTAATGTGAAATGTAGTGATTCTTTTTGGCAAATGTGCCAACTAGAGCAAGGTCCCATAAAGATCCATGAGCTGAATGTTCATTTTATCTGGAGGATCATTGGCCAATACTTTGCAATCTCCCTTTTCTTTTCAAATAGTGTCACGGAATATTTAACGTCCGTTTGAGGGACAGGTAGATACATGAGACCTTGCCTTAACTTAAGTTTTCATTCAAAGGGCTGACATTACAGCGTTATCCCAATGCAGTTCTAGAGTATCAGTGTAGATTATGAGTTCAAGTGCCAAGGTGTATGTTGAACCTCGAACCTTCTGACCCAAAGGCTGATCGCTACAAGTGCATTTCATTGAAACCACAAATCATGGTTTCCGCTGCCTAATATCCTGACAGTAATGGCTTTGTTGGACCATCCTCTTCACATGGCTTGCATTATAGTTCCCTCAGTGATAAACTACAAGTCCAAGAGGGAATATCTAGGCATATTTGGTCAGTTGGTCAATAAAACTTCTCTGTACAGATCAAGAAGAAAGTATGTCTTGCCCTGAAGCACTTCAAGATGTTTGTTGCGGGGAACATTGAGGATTGTAAAGATTGATTATTTAGTTTCCATTTGTGTTCGTTGTGGTGAAGGAAGATGCTGGAATATGAAGTTTTTCTTTGTTACATTTTTTACATCTGAACCTCAATTATTCGCCACAGTGAGAGACCCCACAAGTTAATTGAGGTTCATTGGTGTGGGAAGACACCAATGTCAGAGTATAATGATTGGGTTGCTCCGTATGTTCAGTAAGACGCATCAGTAAAGTTTTTCCTCATCAAAATAAAAAAGGTCTTATTGCAGACTTGCTAGCCTTTCCCGTAACAGTGCTCCCATTGCCATCAGAAATGATGTAGGATAATTGTGAAGACAGTCAGGGCACAGATCGTCAAAGGTTCCTCTGTACAGTGGAAACGATCATTATTGGCCCCTCTCCGGTCAGGTTTAGTGGTGCAAAATAGACTGCAAAGTATCTCTTGGGTGGAAAATGATGAGCTAGTGGGACTTTGGGAATACCATGCCAAAGAACAGAAGAAGAATTAATGGAAGATGTAAGGTTAGATAGATATTGTGGAGTTTATCTTAACTTTGTAGGGCATCAATTTTGCTGAACCTTTCCACGTGGGATTAAATGGATTGGGTAGAGTGGATTGTGAATGGATTGTAGAAGGAATGGTCTTAATGATCAATAGAGCTGTTTTTATGACTTGGAACTTCAGTGCCTTCTGTCTCGGAGACATACAGTAGACTGATGGGATGACATTTACATTGCAATTGTCTTTGTATTTTGCAAATGTGATAGATAGTTTGAAATGTATAAAAGTGCAAAGATAATGACCACATTCTCCGTTGGCTTAAAGAACCCAATACCTTCTCTTGTGGCTTAAAGGACACAATTGTAGGTTGAAACACAATTGGAAAATGGTCAAAACTAATAATAATTCTTGCATTCGATAAGTGTCTAATCACGTTGTCAAAACATCTCAAAGTACTTTATAGGATTTTATTGTAAAGTGTAGTGACTATGTATTTGTAGGTGAACATAATTGCCGATTTACTCAAAGCAATGTGTGACTGGGAGTCAGCAGAATTTCAAATGTGATTGATATTACATTTCAATGGTGTACTTCATAGTGAATCCTGTTTGATGATGCCCTAAATAATAATCCATGCACTTTTGCATTTGATACAGGCCCTTACCCATCAGGCAGACACCTCAAAGCGCTTCATAGGATTTACTGTAAACAACAACAACAACAACAAGATTCCATTTATAGAGCGTCTTTCACGTCGGGAGGATTTCCCAAAGCGCTGGACAGTTGGGTCAGGACCTGAGCAGGAGGGAAATGGTCAGGGTGAGGGGAGGGAAGGGAGGGAGCGAGGAGGGGGGAAATGGTCAGGGTGAGGGGAGGGAAGGGAGGGAGTGAGGAGGGGGTAGAGAGTCGAGAGGGGAGCTGAAGGCACGGTCAAAGAGAAAGGTCTTGAGACAGGCCTTGAAGGAGGAAAGGGAGGAAACAAGGCGAAGGCACTGGGGGATAGAGTTCCAGAGCCTGGGGGCTGAGAGGCTGAAGACCCGGCCATCGATGGTAGGGCGGTTGGGGCGGGGGATGTGGAGCAGACCGGAGCCAGAGGAACGGAGGGTACGGGCAGGTAGATTGGGGAATAGTAGGTCAGAGAGGTAGGAGGGAGCAAGGCCGTGAATGGCCTTGTAGGTGAGGATGAGGATCTTGAATTCGATCCTCTGGGGGATGGGGAGCCAGTGGAGGCGAGCGAGGGTGGGAGTGATGTGGTCCGAAGCCTGGTGCGGGACAGTACACGAGCTGCAGAGTTCTGAATGACCTGCAGCTTGTGGAGGGAGGTGCCGGGAAGACCGGCGAGGAGAGAGTTCCCATAGTCCAGCCTTGAGGTGATAAAGGCGTGGACCAGAGTTTCAGCAGCATGAGGGGTGAGGTAGTGCCGTAGTCTGGCGATGTTCCGGAGGTAAAGTGTAGTGACTGAATATTCTGTAGGTGAACACAGCAGCCAATTTGCGCACAGTAATGCCCTACAATCTTTATTGCTAATCAATTGTCTGCTTTGTTTAGTAATATGGAGCTCGGGTGATTGAAAAAGTACAAATCAAGGAAAAAAGGATTAAACAATGCTGCAATTTGAACCTAGTACTGCAATTCTAGGTACTGAGTATTGGGAAGGTAGAAGGAGCTCACTATCAATATCTAGTGTCAGGAAAACAGTTAGAAACTTTCCATATTTTATTCTCCCTTCCAAAAATCACTCAATTTTGTAGGTTTAAACAGCCTGATTGTGACTTACAGATGCTTGAGAATGTAAATTGAATTGTGTGTGTTTTGCTGAGTTTTGCAACCCTTACATTATTGCAGGTCAGCGTTGCTCACTAACTTGTTGAGAGCCACATCTAGTGTCTTGCTTTAGAGACGTTCTCAGGAATGTTCCAACATTCTGCAACACCGAGCGATGGCAACTGCATCCGTGTTCTCACATGCTGAGCTCCTGATTTCAAAGATTTCACAACAGGCAATTGCCAAATAGAAGCCAGACACTTTTTCCATAGGTAAGGGAGTGAAACCCTAAAGTGTCGCCAGTTCTATAACAGCCCTTAAGGTTTTAATAGATTACTTTCACCCAATCTGTGAATGCTGGGATAAACCTCTCTCTTTATAGGACGCCTTTTATCTTGCTGCTGGATCAATCAAATAATAAAAATGATAAAAACTATAATCCTTACATTTGATACTATGTCTTTCATGTCGAGAGGACATCTCAACTGGATTGTACTGAATAGCACTGGAGTTATGAGGAGGTGTGAATTGGCATTTGTCAGGACCAATGGGTAATTAATAATGCTGAAATGAAATTATTGAAACTATTGTTATTATATTATTAAAAGCATTGAAATAAAAAAGTGCCATGTTAAGTGTTCGGTGAAATTTACAAAAGCTCCAGTGATTTCTTCAGTTTCAAAGACTATATTTGCCATAATTGATCTTCCTGTATAAGAAGTGGAATAAGTGACCGTTTTGATGCGAATGCTATTAGCTCCAAAACCTGAGAATGTTGCAGCAGTGACTAACAGATCATGCGCTACATTGCTAAAACTTTCATTGTATTATTGCCTGAAACCAAATGCTCATTGTATGAACCAAACCATGTGACAAGTTGGTGTTGTCTTACAGAATGAAAGCGCTTGTGAATCATGCGGAAAATTATTAATTGGTGGTTTATATTTCATAATCTATCATGGCCTATCTTATTCCTCTATGTACCAAGTAGAAGGGCTAACTATAGTGGAAAACAATCCTTTTCTGGTGCATTATTAATCACAGATATTTTTTATTTTTAAAACTCCAAATTTTAGATGTGCAAATCTAAAATTTTAAAAAATCTCCAAAAAAAATCTAAAACTCTAACCTCCGAGTGATGGCTCTGAGATTGTAGGTTATTACATTACATTATTGCTGGGTAGCTGATATTAGTTTTTTGTGTTTGTACTTTTTCAGAGTATGAATTTGTGGTTTTTTGATATTCTCAAGTATTCTAGGTATTTTTCTTCCATTAATTAAAAAATACTTCTGTGTATTTAAAAAAAAGATTGGCTACAGGCTACCAATAACTGTTCAAAACCCATTTTTATATAAATAACAATAGTGGAGGAGGTATGTTGTTTTTTTGTGGCCACATACCTTCTGCTGAATATCAAAGAACTTTCTTTCATGTCTAGAAGTGTGAGTTGCATTTAAAGCTTCTCGTTATCTTGCTGTGTGTTTAAACAATTGATTTGTTTCTTGTGCAGCTTTTCTTCAGATGTGCAAATTTTATCTAATAAAATCAACGTGTGTCCCTTGCAATAATCAAACTGTTTTTTAAAATGTTGTTAGTAAATCAGACATACGGTGGTATTTAGGGTCAGACAAAAAAAAGAGAAGCACAAAAATAGTATGAAAAAAGGATCCGACGTGAACTGAACACATTATGAAAATATTTAATGTGTGGAGATAAGGAAGTGGTTAATTCAGACTAGCTCTTTCTAATGTGTCAGCTTGGCTCAGTTGGTAGCATGTTCACCTCTGGGTCTGATCTTTGGGTCTGTGCTCTATATGGGAATTTGAACTCCCCACGTGAAAGACATTACATAAATGCAATTTGTTGTTGTTGTTGAACTCACAGTCCACTATGTGGGGTGATAGTCATTCGCCAAAAATTTAAAGCAATTTGACGGCTGGCTAGCTAACAGTACTAAAGGACAAGCAAGGAACTATAATTGTCTCTGTGGTTGATGAGACGAAACCTCTACAATGGTAAATATTTCCACGGGTTCTTTCCCACACTTCTACAAACTTGATCTCATTTATTTTCCATGGGTTTGAAAAGAAAATATCGAGGTACACAATAAAGTTTAAACATATTGTGAGCAGAGAGCCCAGCATCATGAAGAGGAAACTGAGTGAGGTGGAACAGAGTGAGAATTCTGTTAATGAATTTGATGAGAGGAAATTCTTGAGCAAGAGAGAACCAAAGATCAAGAGAGAACTCTTTATTTTAGCAAGAGTGGAAATTGTTTCTAGAGCGAGAGAGAATTTTTTAAGCACATCAGGTAAACAAGCCAAATTGGTGCATTTGTCACAGGCCAAGTGTTAGGGATTAGCTAATTGTTTGCTGGCAAGTTGAAACTGGTTATGTCAGAGGCTTATATAAAGGGAGAGAGAAGTGTTTATAAATGATGTATTAGAGGGGTAGGGGGTTACAGTAGGGGGTACAGTAGGAGAGCAGTCCCTGGTACCTAATAATAATAATAAAAACGTAGAGGAGGAAATTGGGTCTCTGTTAGGAAAGAGGCCAGAAGTCAGTGATCGACTAATGGAACAGGAGCGGACATCCCTGATGCTCTCCAATAATTTCTCTCCTCTGGAGAGAGATGATATGGAAACCCAAGTGATGGCTGAGATAGGCAAAGCAGTGGTAGTGGCAAGATAGTGGCTGAGATAGTGCCGTGCACCGAGGCAATCCAGCAGCCTGCCAGGAAACGAGGGAAGAAGAGAAAGAGTAGCCGACACGTTGTGATATTAGGGGATTCGACTATTCGGTTCACAGATCGCATTCTGGGCAAACCAGACCCAGAAAACAGAATGGTAAGTTGCCTACCAGGTGCACGGGTTGAGGATCTGATGCCTCGGGTTGACCAGATACTACAGGGAGCAGGTGAGGAACCAATTGTAGTTGTTCTTGTGGGAAGAAATAGTATAGATAGAAGTAACCAGAGGTCCTTCATGCTAAATTTAGAGCATTAGGAAGGAAAGACTTCAAGTGTAGTATTTTCCAATATACTACCCATACCACATGCTAGTGAGGAAAGACAGAGCGTAATTAGGCAAACTAATGCGTGGCTAAGGCATTGGTGTAGGGAGTGGGAGTGGAAGACCTATGGAGTTCCTTCAAGGTGATTATGAAGGCAATGGAACAATGTATCCATGTGGAGCAATGGTACCAAGCTTAAAGGCATTCCTGCCTGGTTGGATAGGGCTACAAAGCAAATCAAAAAGAGAAAAAAAAGCATTTAAGAAGGAAAATGGCACAGAAATAAGTCAGACTGAATACTGGAAGGCATGCCAGGAATGCAAAAACGGCATCAGAATGACAAAGAAAAACTTTGAATTGAACATGGCAAGAGCTGTGAAGCATAATAACAAAAAGTGTTTTAGTTACATTACGAGTAGAAGAAAAATAAGCAATGGAATAGGGCCACTGATGGTGGGTTCAGGAGACAACATGACAAATAATACTGCACAGGTTGCAATCGTGCTAAATAATTTTTTTGCATCAGTCTTTACCAAGGAGGAAACAAAAGAGAGGTGTTCTCTCAGCGACTTCTGTTTTTGTTTTGAGAGAAAAGGTGTGTCTGGTAACCAGATGATGTAATGGTTACAGGAGAGGGGGAGGAGGAAGGTGAGCTGTTTTGGTCTGAAATTGTTGAAATCATTATTGAGGCTAGAGGGCTGTAAGGTCCCTAGCAGATACATGAGGTGCTCGAGCTTGAGCTGTGGCTCATTAGAACAGCCTAGGAGACCATGGATGGAGAGGTCAGAGTGCAAATGGGAGGGAGAGTTGAAGTGGCAAGAAACCGGACGGGAGCTCAGGGTTGTGCTTGCGGGCAGAACGGAGCTGTGTGGCAAATCGGTCACCCAATCTGCGTTTGACTCCCCAATGTAGAGGAGACCACATCCTGAGCAGCGAATTCAGTAAACTACATTGGTGGTAATACATTTAAATTGCTGTCTCACTTGAAATCTGTGTTTGGGACCCTAGACAGGGGTATGGGAGGAGGTGAAAGGGTAGGTATTGATTCTCTTGCACTGGCATGGGAAGGTGCCGGGGGGAGGAGAGCAACTGTTGGTGGGATGGAGGAATGAACCAGGAAGTCACAGAGGGAATGGTCCCTTCAGAATGTGGGGAGGGGAGGGGAGGGAAAGATATGTTTGGTGGTTGGATCACGCTGGAGGTGCCAGAAATGGCGGAGAATTATTTTTGGGATGTTAAAGCTGGTGGGGTGGAAGGTGAGGTCTAGGGGGACCCCATCATGGTTCTGGGAAGAGGGGGAAGGGGTGAGGGCAGAAGTGCGGTAATAGGGCGGACACAGTCAAGGGCCCTGTCTACCACAGTGGATGGGAATCCTCGGTGGAGGAAAAAGAAAGACATTTTAGCTGCTCTGTTGTGAAAGGTGGCATCGTCAGAGCAGATGCGTCAGGCGGATGAACTGAGTAAAAGGAATGGAGTCTTTACAAGAGGTAGGGTGCGAGGAGGTGTAGTCCAGGAAACTGATTTCCAGCATCTACAGTATTTTGCGTTTTGTTTACCGGGAGGAGACGGGTAATCTATCTGATCCAAGAAAAGAACTCAAGGATGTCGCAGAGAAAAATTGCGACACTATTCATATCACTATCAGCATGATTGCCAAACAGCTGTGTAAACTTACGGTAAATAAATCTCAGGGGCCGGATAAATTGCATCCGAGGATCCTTAAGGAACTAAGGGAGGAAGTCGCAGAAACGCTGGCACAAATCACTGAATATTGGACAGGTGCTGGGGGTTTGGAGAAAAGCAGATGTTACTCTTACTTTTAAGAAAGGTAACAAAAGTGATCCAAGAAACTGCAGACCAGTAAGATCGACGTCCATTGTGGCTAATATTTATGGAGACTCTTATTAAGGATAAAATCATGGAGCATCTGGACAGCAATAAAATCATAAATGATAGCCAATATGGGTTCATGAAGGGAAGATCTTGCCAATCTAATTTACTGGTTTTCTTTGACGGTGTGGCAAGCGAGCTTGATAAGGGTAAGGCTGTGGTTGTTGTACATCAGGATTTCAGTAAGGCCTTTGATACAGTTCCTCTTGAGAAGTTGGTACTGAAAGTAAAAAAAAAAGCAGGAAGCAGTGGAGGTATATTACAATGGATACGCAATTGGTGACTGGAAGAACCCAGAGGGTGGTGGTACAGGGAATGTCATCAGACTGGGAAAATATTACTGGTGGAGTTCCACAAGGGTCTGTTTTGGGACATTCTTTTGTTTAATATTTTTATAAATGATCTGGATCCAGGAGTCTCAAACACAGTGGCTAAGTTTGCAGATGACACAAAAACTAATGAAGGTGGTAGATTGCAAAGCTGAAAAAGATAGGTTAAAGTAGGTTTTGAACATACTTAAGCATTGGGCATATTTGTGGCAGATGAAATTTAATGTGGAGAAATGTAAAGTCACATGGGGACAAATATTCTGGAAGGGACTATTATTTGAACGGAAGGAAAATAATATGTATGGAAAATGAAAAGGACCTGAGGGTCCTGATTGACAATAAATTGAAGCTCTCCCAATAATGCTCTGTGGCAGTGAGTAAAGCAAACCAGATGTTGGGATGTATCAAAAGATCAATAGCAAAACAAAATAGTGGGGTAATCCTGCCACTGTATAAATCATTGGTGAGACCATATTTAGAGTACTGTGTACAGTTCTGGTTGCCACAGTACAAAAAGGATATTGGAGAAATTGAAAAGATACAGAGGAGGGCAACCAAAATGACTGAGGGAATGGAAAGACTGGACTATGAGGAGCGACTAAGTAAATTGGGCATGTTCACGCTGGAAAGGTGAAGATTGAGAGGCGACATGATTACTGTCTTTAAGATTCTTAAAGGGGCAAGACAATATAGATCATGATAAGCTGTTTGAACTTGTCCAGAATAGTAAAAGCAGAGGACACGGCCTACGATTTAAAGGGGGTAAATTCAGAACAAATCTACACAAACACTATTTCAGTGAGCGAATAGTGAACCTGTGGGACAGGCTCCCTAGGGAGACAGTTGAAGCAGGAAGGGTTGATTCTTTCAAACGCAGATTAGATAGTTTTCTTTTCAGAAACAACATTATGGTATATAGTACATAGGTAGTTTGAGACATATGTGCATGCTACCGGGTGGAAGGTGAACTAGATGGATCTTGCTCTGTGACCCTATCATCCCCACCCTCACCAGGCTCCATTGGCTCCCCATCCTCCACAGGATAAAGTTCAAAATCCTCGTCCTCGCCTTGAAGGCCCTCCCTGGCCTTGCTACTTCCTAGCTCTGTGACCTGCTAACGTAAAAGTCACAAATTACGTCCTCTCTGTGACCAGGGTTCTCTCTGCCTCCTTGTCCTCCTGGACATCTCTGCTGCCTTCAACACAGTCGATCATGCAATCCTTCTCGACTGGCTCTCCTCCCTCATCCACCTCAGTGGGACCGCACTTTCCTGTTTTGAGTTCAACCACCATCACTTTGTCTCTGCAAATATTTTTCCTCTCACCCACATTGGGTCACCTGTGGCATACCCTAAGGCTTCATCCTTGTCCCCCTCCTTTTCCTCATTTACTTGTCCTTCTCAATGACATTCGTAGACATGGGGTCAACTTTGTACACTATCCTAAAATATATTTGCTAGTGGGAATTTTTAAAATCAAAAGTATTTAATCATCTATTTCCAACATTTTTTTAACCAAATGTCAGTGAGGCGTAAATTCATTGCACTTGCCAAATAAAACATATTAATGTTATGTTTTAATATGGGAAAGCAGATTTTCATCCTTTTGTTTATAATAATACAGTAGTAATCCTTACATTTGATACCGTGCTTTTTTATGCCAGGAAGATGTCAAAATGCTTTACAGGGTATATTGTAATGTGTATTCACTATATTTTGAGATGAACCTCATGCATGTGCTCTATTAGATATTGTTCCAAACATTTCTTGCTCATATATATTTACA